AGACATATAGATATATATCTATATCTATATATTATTACACACACACACACACACACACACTGTGCCCAGGACTCCTCTGTGACCTTCTTCTTCACATTCTCAATGCATTTATACCCCCTAAGCCCTTCTCCTTCATATACTGCTTACTTCCATACCCTCTGCACTCCTCTCCTGCTCATACTCACATATCTCACACCCTTTGCACTGCTTTATTTAACATACTCTCGGTCATACCTTCTGCACTCCTCTCCTGCAGCATGCTTCTTGCTGTTATACCCTCTGCATCCCTCTCCTGTGCATACTATCCACTATTATAACTAGGGATGCACCGATATATCGGCTGCCGAAACATATCGGCCGAAAATTGCACTTTTGGCATAATACCGAAAGTGCCATTTTCTGGCCGATACAGCGGTGCATCCGTGATTTCTCTCCTCCCTGCTGGGCGCTGCTCTGTGTCCCAGCGGGGAGGAGAGAAACTGTCACAGGCGGCCGAGTGCTGCGGGAGGAGAGCCCTGTGAGCGGGCGGCGTCTCTTCTCCCACACCGCCCAGCCGCCCGTCACAGATCAGAGGAGAGCAGTGTGGGCGGAGACAAGCAGCGCTGTCACAGGAGGCTGAGCTCCGCTTGCTCAGCCTCCTGTGACAGCGTGACAGGAAGGAGAGCAAGTACAGACACTCAGCGATCGCTGAGTGTTTGTAATTAATTGAGGATAGAGTATGTTTACTGTATCCTCAATTATGAATGATCCTAAAACTGAAATTATTCACATATCTCTCAGTCCTGGTTCACACCTAGGCGGCACCATTTTTGCGCGTCTGTACGTGCGTTAGCAGCATGCGGTTATTTGCGTGTTTATGCACATTGGGCACATTTGTATGCACGTTTTGACACACGTTTTGATTGGCAGCTCATAAACCATTGTGGGCAATGGAAGAACGCGCAAAAATGCTCACGAAAATGTGCAACATGCTTCTGTTGCACATTTTTGGGCATTTCCAATTAAGTCTTTGGGGAAGAAAAGTGCTTTTAACTGCCCAAAGAAGCTCCTGTATCTTATCAGGTGTCTGGCGTTTTCCTGCTAGGTGTTTTGCTGCTCAGGTGTGAACCAGGGCCATTGAAAATCATGGGATTTCTTGTGTTGGCAGTTAAAAGCGCTTTTCGAACTGCTCAAAAACTCCAGTGTGAACCAGGGTAATGCAGAACAGAACACCACTCCAAATCACTGCAAATTAAACACTTGATAAAGCATACAGTACATTTATTGCTCTGTTGTTCTAACACTCACTATCTGTGTTTTAGTATGATCAGAGCAAATACTGTTTTATAAGCTTTGGTTTTAGGTATCCTAAAAACAATTGTCTACATTTTTAGTAAAATGAAGGACTGGTAATACTTACTTGGCAGTATTAATGGGTTTTGGGTCAAAGTTTCCTTCAGCGTCCACTGACATTTGCTTCTCAGGTGTTGCTTTAATTCTGGTATCAACATAATCTGGTGGTAGACCTCCAGCTATTGCACTGAGACAGGGCATGCACATTCTGAAGAGTTCAGCATCATACTTCTGCAGGAGAGATAGGAACTGGTTGGAAAGTCCCACAGAAAAACATGCAATTTGTTAGTGACAGCGACACAGCCAAATCACATCAGCAAACGGAGAACAAATTTAGTAAAGTAACAAGGCAACAAGGTCTGCATTTCAAACTCAAAACATACCATTCCACACATTCATGCAAAAATGTATCAGTATCTGAGATGATCTTGTTTGATCTTGATCTAAAGTGCCTCACAGACAAAATAGGGGTTTACGGGAATAACAAATTAAGAGGAGTAGCAGTTTCTTTTCTATTTAATACAAAAATATTTTCATATGCTGCCAAAAGTAAATGTACAACTTATAGATTCCTATTCACTGGTACATTTACTCTGCCACGGGACTGTAAGATGAATGCACTGGATGGTGTGAATAAGCCCTTACTAATAAAGTATTGATTTTGTCTTTATATAATGTTCCAGGTTCCCAGTGTTGTGTAGAAATATCATAATGGAACAGTATTGTGTTATTTACTGCTGAGCTCTGCGTTATTTACCACCGTGCTCTGCGTCTTTATTACCGTGCTCTGCATTCTTTATTACCGTGCTCTGCATTCTTTACTCCCGAGCTCTGTGTTTTTTACTCCTGAGCTCTGCGTTCTTTATTACTGAGCTCTGCGTTCTTTACTACTGAGCTCTGCGTTCTTTACTCCTGAGCTCTGCGTTCTTTACTCCTGAGCTCTGCATTTGTATTACCGAGCTCTGTGCTCTTTACTCCTGAGCTCTGCATTCTTTATTACTGTGCTCTGCGTTCTTTACTACTGAGCTCTGCGTTCTTTACTACTGAGCTCTGCGTTCTTTACTACTGAGCTATACGTTCTTTATTACCAAGCTCTGTGCTCTTTACTCCTGAGCTCTGCATTCTTTATTACTGTGCTCTACGTTCTTTACTACTGAGCTCTGCATTTTTTACTCCTGACCTCTGCGTTCTTTACTCCTGAGCTTTGTGTTCTTTATTACTGAGCTCTGGGTTCTTTACTCCTGAGCTCTGCGTTCTATATTACTGTGGTCTGCGTTCTTTATTACTGTGGTCTGCGTTCTTTATTACTGTGGTCTGCGTTCTTTATTACCGAGCTCTGTGTTCTTTATTACTGTGCTCTGCGTTCTTTACTCCTGAGCTCTGCGTTCTTTACTCCCGAGTTCTGCGTTCTTTACTCCTGAGCTCTGCATTCTTTACTACTGAGCTCTGCATTCTTTACTACTGAGCTCTGCATTCTTTATTACTATGCTCTGTGTTATCTACTACTGAGTATGTCTCCATGTAGGATCTCCACAACAGAATTGAGCATTATGATGGCAAATGAAATATTAATAGTTTCATTTATGTGGAGCGCACCAATGTTTTTTTGTGCACACCGAGCATGCATGGCAACTCCATGTTATTCTAATTTACCTTCACAATTTCTGTCACTTTGTCATTCTATCACACAATCAACCTGAACACCTGTCATATCTTGTCATGGATATGTCACACATGGGTGAGTCATCTATGATAGAACTTTCCCACACTGTGAAGATTACATACTTGCCTTATATTTCATGCACATTTTAAACCCGGCTCTGCAATCCTGTGCAATTTTAATATATGCATCATTCCATACTATGTTACAAAAATGTGGTCAAAATCTGCTCACAAAACACTCAAGGAAAAAAAATTGATTACACAGCCAAAAGAGCTCATCACGCATGCTGAACATTCAGATAAGAACATGTTTTAAGTTAGAAAATAATAATCTTTTCAACAGCTTTGTTTAACTTCCTGTTGTCAATACTGTTTATACTCTCTTTGGTTTAGTGCAGCCTCAGGATAGCAAAGCTTCTAAATCTGTCTATGTGTTTTATTATCCTCAGTAGCAGTTTAACCACTTGAAGTCCGCAGTGTTAAACCCCCTTCCCATCCAGGCCATTTTTCAGTATTCAGCGCTGCAGTACTTTGACTGATATTTATTCCATCATGCAACGCTGTACTGAAATAAATTTTATACCATTTTTTGGGGACAGATAGAGCTTTCTTTTGGTGGTATTTAATCACCACTGCGATTTTTATTTTTTTTACTATATTAAGGAAAAATTACTGAAATAAATTTTTAAAAAAACAGTTTCCCCTATATTAAATGTTACCCAATTTTTTGGTAAAATATAAAAGACGGGGTCACTTCGGGTAAAAAGACACCAAACATGTCAAGCCTTAAATTGTGTGTGCGTGCGAAACCTCAAAAAACGATAATACCAAAAATTGGCCATAGGCGACGCTTTAAAAGCTTTTACCGCTCAGTTTAGTGTTATCAGTGATTGATGGCCCTAAAATGATTGCTCTCACTCCAACGTTCACAGCGATATGTAACGTGTGTAGCACAATTGTCATTTTCGCACGCTGGTGCACCGGACGCGTATTTACGTTTATATGTGCGTAACACATTTATGTCTCCATAAAGAGGACCTGACATTGGGGGTCTCTAGGACCCCTAATGTCACCTGGGGACCCCAAAAGAAGCTGATGAAGCAAAGATCTGCTTCATCAGCTTCTTCTCTCTGCTTATAGCAGCCAGATGACTGACAGGTGAATGCAGAAGTGATGTAATACACATCACTTCTCCATTCACAGCACTGAGGGGATCAGCAAGGAGCTGATCTCCCTCCCTCTTCCTCCTGACGCCCTCCCGAGCCGGTCCCTGGCCGCAGATGGGCTAGAGGATCTCGGGATTGAAGGTTAGGGTGCAGGAGGTGGGGCGGCGGCAGGGGGCTTTACTGCACTAGGGGGCGCAGTACATTTGACGTACATTTACGTGACCCCGCCGGGAAGGATCCGCCGTCCGCCAGTAATTTTACAATGGGTGGACGGCAATGGGTTAATATCACTTTAACCAGTTGCTGTCCGGAGCAATTTATTGATCTTTGCACACACATGATAAAAGCTGAATATTTGGCTAGAAAACAGATTAAAACCCTCAAACAATTATATATT